TCCTAGTAGCGATGCCCGTGTTGCTAGTAGCTTCTTGTTCCTAGTAGTAAGGCCAGGAGCCGCTAGTAGCGTCCTTGCTCCTAGTAGTTTCTTTAATGAGAACCTACTGTGGCGCATTCTCTGAGTCTGCAGAGTCTGCGGCAGAGTACCAGGTTCTAGCATCCAGAGCAGAGCGACACCTGGAGGACGATTCCATTTTGTTTCCGGGAAGAGGAAGGCAGAACCCATGCGGTGCTGACGGAATCCAGTTCATGTGTTGTTTTCTACAAGCAATTGCTATTAGGTTAGAGGCCGTTGCTAGTAGGTTCTACCTGAGCAATCAAGTTCCCTCCTTGAGCTCGGGGTAGTCACCGGGTTGTCCCATGGGAATCACTTCACAAAATTCCAAGTCTTCCATCTCGTTGTGCAAGTGCCATGTGTAGTCTTTGTTCATCTCCTTTCGCTTCAGACTCCTTCTTCCTTCGCATCAAGTGAGGATGCCTTTTGCCGTGCTTGTGCCACTGCTGCGTCCACAAAGGCAGACTGCAGAGGGTCTCTGCATTTTGGTCAACGCCATATTGAGTGCAGAAGAGGAAGGAGAAAGAACGTGTCAGAAACAGTGTTGAGCTTTGTAGGATGACTTTTAAACACATCCAAACATCCACAGAAAGGAACCGAAAAGGGAACTGAAAAGGCATGAGTCGAGCCCTATTTCAGCGTTTGTTTTTTTGTAGACTTCTCCATGCACGAACCAGCTTACCCAGTCTTCAGCCTACCGTCTCGAACGACACATTGACATTCAAATCAACAAGAAAAGACAAAATGAAAAAAGAAAAGATCAAGGACAAGTTAGTTTCGAAAAGAAAAAAAAGAAAAGACTGTGATGTGAGCGAAGATGTACACACAGTGTGCCATGTTTGGAAGTGGTGTGCATTGAGCAGCTTCCCGTTCGCCGCCGTGGCCTTCCTTTCTGATCCCATTTTCTTGTCTCAAGGCACTTTCCAGTGTGCGAGTGCGAAGCCGCAATGCTTGGGTCTGTTGGCCAAATCGCAGAAAGAGTGATTTTGTTTGTGTTTAAATAGATGGAACAAACTGGACACCAACCTGATAGAACTGAATACCTCACTTGCAAGCAGACATGAGGAAAGGAGCACCGCTCACGTTCGCCAAGGACTCTGAGGTTGCCCGACTTATTGAGACTTTGCAAGAGGCCAGGCCAAGCAGGTTTGCAGATGTTTGCAGGGTCGACACGGGAAGCTTTGCAAGGGAAAGATCGCACTCAGTTTTCAATTGCAAGGTCGAAGACATCAGTGCACAGCTGCTGGAGCATCAAAGAGATGCCAAAGAGGTGGGTAGCCAATGTGTGCAACCTGTGGTGGAATTTGTTTTTGCCTCCTTGCGCATAAACGACAGGTGGCTGTGCTTCGACATTCAGTGTGGAGCTCAGCGGAGCTCCAGATCCAGTTTAGTCAAGTGGCAACGTGGCGCTGGCCAGGTGAGTTCGGAGCTCCATGCGGGCTTTTTGCCTTTGAAGCGAGAACCCCGCGAGGATGGGGAGAGACTGTGTGTGTGTGGGGGGGGGATTCTTTATTGATCATATTCACTTTACTCTTTAGCACTCTGACTTGATTTGGTGAGGCACTATCCTCTGAGCTGGAAGGTCATGCAAGCAAACTTTGGCGGGATAAAGCACCGCTTGACTTGATGACTTGAGCGGCTTGTCCACACAATCCACACACACACATACTTGCAAGGTTTGAGTAGTTGCATTTTGTCTTTTGTAATTTCCGCCGCCTCAAGCTAGAACAGCCTCCATCAGAACAAGGAAAACATATGTTAGGCCCAGGCCGCCCAATTGGTAGAATGCAAGCCAAGAACATGTATTTTATTCTGTCGCTTTGGTTGGACAGTAGTTCGTTGTGGAGCGGAGTTCCTTGTGTTGCCCTCATGCTGAGAAGAGGCCTTTAAGCTTGCCCGTGGGTTGGGGATTCTGAAGCCTCTTGAATACAATTTTCGATGTTTATTGAATTCCTTTACAGAATTACTTTATTGCGGTTACTACTCTTTCTTTCTTCCGACCTTAATACCTTGTATTATTCTATTTAGATTTACGTCGCCATTTCGATCATATTAAGAACCTGAGCTCGCCGGTGTCTTTGCTTCGACTTATCAGTTTCTTGGAAAACTTCATTTTGAGGGTATCCTTGCATTTTGTGGCATAGTATGTTTGGCATGATTGGGAGCAGGCATCCCTGCTTCCTAAATCGATGAGTTCTTGAACAAAGTCATGATTACATTTCTTATCACGTGGTGTTGCGAACAGCAAGAAGCTACTAGTAACAAGGGAAACAATGCGATCCGCTTTGGCCGCTCAGATGATGAAAGTGTAGACCAGCACGCCCGGAAGCCTCAGGAAGGACCTTGGCAACTTGGGGTCTAGCGATGACCTCCAACCTACTAGCGATGGCCTCCCTTAGACGGTCTTAGAAGCCCCAAAAAGAGAATCCAATCGAACACAGCGAGCACAGCCGGTTTTGCTGCAGAAGACGACACCCAGTCTACTGGGTGAATAGTCGCTAAATATCCTTTAACATTCAACGGCTCGAGAACAATGAAACTATCCTTTCTCGACTTCTTGAGTGGGCCTCAGTCAAGTTCAAGAAAGGCCTGAGTAGGGAGAAGAAACGGGGGTAGTTCAACTGTTCCACAGAATACACTGGCCTAGAGCTGAACCAGACCAGAAACTCATTGAGCCCTGAGTCAAACAGTCCAGAACACTTTAGGTTTGTGATGGGGACTTTGTTGGACGTTTTGTTTGAACTCCCCGCAGCCACAAGTCCGGCATTTTGCTTTGCTTAGGCCCAGATGTTGGACTATCAAGCTGCCCTCAGTCAATGGCCTGGAGACAAATTGAGCAAACAAAGCTTTGCTCATCTCTTACCCATTTGCGCTGCTAAAATACTTTGAAGGAGGGTGAAAGCCTTTGGAACTGCGTGAGAGGTTACCAAGCTGCACAAGCTCAAGCTCAAGCAGCCTATGCTTACTCAAGGCCAATTCAGATCTCCCCAGGTGGTGGGCGCCTTGAGAGTTAAGTTTCCAGCAAAAAACATGTCTTTCATTGCGGCGATCTGTAGACTCTAGACGTTTTCATTCTACATTTGATTCATTTCTTTTTTTGCTGCCACGATTCATACTGCGCTTCGGCATCGAATTGACACTGTCTAGGTCTGGCCATCTTGGATTTGCTCCTGGCAAAGTGGAGACCAGCAGTAGATCAGCAGGTCCAGATCAAGTATTGAGATGGATTGGTTTCAAGATGCTTCTATTTCATTGCCTATGTTTTTTTTCCTATCAGAACATATTTTTTTTGTTCATGGCTTCTTGATTTATCAGCATGTTTTTCTTTCAAGGCCTGGACCACCTTGATGTCTTTGGATTCACAAGCTGTGGAAATTTTGCAGGACCAAAAGAGTTCACACGCTCTGGACTATCTCTGGACTATCCGTACTGATTTTGCTTCCCTCAGGAGCTTGACTTGAAGAACGAATCTATCAACAACCCATCTGCGTATGTTCAGCGTGCAGTGAGCAACATCAAGGCAATGACAGCTGCCGCGTTCACAATCCAAAGCACCACGTTCTTCTGAGTTTTGCAAGCGACCGCTGATAGGCTGGCCATCCCCATGGCAGAGATCCAAATGCAGGCACTAAGTAGCGCTTCTTGCTACTAGTAACAAGGTGCATCGCTACTAGTAGTAGCAAGGATGCTACTAGTAGCATAGTCTGGCACCAGCTCGGAATCATCAAGCGGTCTGAGAGCAACGAATGTGCATCTCCGTGTGAGGCATGGCAGCAGCGGCCGGCGCTCAAACTCAGCACTACATGGTGGCCCCAGGTCCGAAAAGCCTAGTAGCTAAACCCATAGCAAGTGGACTCACACTAGACACTCAAGAGCTGCAACAGAGCTGGACACAGCTTTCCCATTTTCTACAGGCATCATCTTGGATGAGAAGGCCACACTGGCCTTGCAAGCTGCTTCACCCGAGGCACGTAGCGTGATGAGAATCGGACTTTGGGATTCGCTCTTCCTAAAGCAGCCTTAGATCAGGAAGCCTTCAAATGGAAGAAAGAACGACTAAGATGACTAAGGTCCTAAGAAGCAGACAAAGAGAAATGAAGCAAGAAAATAGGTAAGAATCAACTTGAAGAAGGCAAATTGGCAAGAAGACAAAGGTAGTAAGTAGTAGCAGTCACTTGTGTTAACACTAGATTGCTTTTTTTGTGTTCGGACTGATAGCATCGGAAAGTAGCACACACTCAAGGCCAAGCCAGCATACCTTCTACCATAGCAAGACACATTTTGCGCCTCCCTAGTTTCTTCGTTTGTTGGCCGGAACAGTTTCTTTTTTTTCAATTTTTCTTCTAACCTTTAGACTTTAGACCTCTTTTACCTTTTTTGTTTAAAGGATTTTTGCTTTCCTTTCTTTTCTTTGTGGTGACTTGTCTTACACTATTTTGATGATTCAAAGCCATGTTTGGTTTTCTTGTGGAAGATTGGCCTCTAGTTTGGCAAAGCTCAGATTTCCATGATTTTTACCCGTGCAAGTTTGCGCATTTTGACACCTGACGCAGATTGCACAGCAAGTTATTGCCGAGCTCCAGACGAAGGGTCCAGAGGCCGAAAAGCACAGACCTCCCAAAATCACAAGTGCTTCTTGCCAAAAAGAAGCCCTCCCAACTTCCTTGCTAGTATGTCTTTGAAGCTTTCTAGTAACTAGAAGCTATTAGGTTGGAGGCCATCGCTACTAGTAACAATAAAGCGTGTTCTTATCGTTTTAAAGTAGTGTTAGTGTCCAAGACCAACGGCCCAAGAGAAGCAGCAAGAGGAAAGAGTTTTCCTTCAGAATGTTACTCGGGCCCCTTTAATAATGAGGATCACCTTTAAACCAAGTCCTCCACACGTCTTTTGAACCTTTGTCTTCCTGTTTGGATGTCAAATGGCATTTTTGAAGTGAAGAGAACACGTTTTGGCCTTGCTACCTGAAGCGTTCGGTTTGCTTCAGAGCAAAGACCAACATTCACTGAACAAAATTGCGGAAAGCCTCAGCTTTCATGGAAGTTTTCTCTTTCAGTACGAATTCTTCCCTCGCTTTACCGAGCGCTTTCCGCTTTTCGCCTCCGCTTCTCGTTTTTCTCTTTCACGTCTTTACCCGTTTTGTCTTTTGCTTTCTTTTTTTCTTTGCGAACATTATCTCGCGATGACCTTTGCGTTCCTTTGGGATTCAGGTCAGGAACCCATCTGCGTATGTGCAGCGCGCTCTGTCCAATGCAAGGGGCAAGGTGGGAAGACAAGTCAAAAAAGCATCTGGGGTTCAAACCAATGGAGCCAGTCTTTGCTCGCAGAAGTAAGCTGTGAACATGTTTCAGATTATGATTGTAAGAGGGAGAGGCTTTTGACTGCGCTTCTCGCAGGTTGGAGGATTCAGCAGCGGCGGCGGAGGGAGCATTCAGGCGCTTTTCTTAAGCAAGAAGCTTTGGAGCTTTGAAGGAAATCTGAAAAAAGAGGCTCAGTTCTTACTACCCCCAGCCTTGAGGACTTCTGTCCCTTAGAAACAAGAGTCGAAGAAAAAGTACATGTTAGACAGATTTATCATCTTCATGTTCAAAGTGTTTTGTCAAAATGCATGGCGTGTGAGGCAGGAGAAGATGTCACCGCACGTTTGGATGAAGATGCCCGTCGTGCCTTGCAAGACCTCAGTCCGGAGGCGCGCCGAGGGCGGGCCGGGTGCCAAAGGGTGCCTGGGTCGGCTGGGCACATGGCGTGGTAGTGTCCATGCGTTTGTCAAGTGTTATATGCAGATGTGTCTTCACAAAACGTTTTGGTTCGCTTCATTTCCCAATTCAGAACTAGGAACAAGAAGCTACTAGGAGCAAAGGGCATCGTTACTAGGAGCAAGGACGCTACTAGGGGCTCCTGGCCTTACTACTAGGGCGCCTTACTACTAGGGCAAAGACGCTACGAACGGAGCTTTTTCGCGCTTTCATCAAGTTGAACACTCGTGCCATTTGAGGCCCCGCTGACTTCTTTTTAAGTTGTCGCTTGTCACTTGTCTCCCAATTGGTTTTGGTTCCTGGTCCTTGTCTCAACCTGCCAGCTTTCTATCTTTCTGCCTTAGTTGCAATAGTTGCCTCCTTTCTCGTGTTGGATCTTTTTACCAGGTCTTCTCCATTGTTGGGTTTGAGGCTGCTTCAATCACATGCTTTGCATGCCGAGTGTGCACGTAGACCATTGAAGTTATTTGATACTTTCGGATTTGTTCGACTTCTGCTAGCACCTTTCGCAGCTGTGAGAAGAACTTAATCCCACAAAACTTTTGGTGGACCAACTTTGAAGCCTTGATATCGACTTTCTTTGTGAGCAACTGTAATGAGAGTGTAGATTCTCAAGAAGCTCACTCCTTCATTGGTTGAATGAGCTATATGTTTCGAGGCAAGCCAGAGGATTTTGCAACAGCTGGGCGAGGCTGGAGACAAGGTGCCCAAGTGATTCGCTTTCCAGTTGAGTCACTTTGTCGGTGAAACCAGAGACACACATGTTGATGTATGTGTGTATATATAATATATATATATATATATTACAGCCGGTAAACAATGGTCACTATTGTAGAGAAACGCCTTTTGGCAACCACCATCATCATCCACTGTTACTGCAAATTGATATACCCAAATTAGATACATGTAAGGCTTTTTGTGTATATAGCTGCGCCTTGTTACAGTTGAGGCCAAGATGTAATGCCTTTGCATAGCATCCTTCTTAGACACA